GTAAGGGTGGCCAGAGCCTGCAATAGGCTTCCCAGAGAGGTGGTGCTCTCACCTTCCCTGGAAATCTTCAAGAGGAGACTAGATAAGCACCTGGCTGGGGTCTTATGACCCCTGCCATCCCCAGTGCTCCTTCCTGCCCATGGCAGGGGGTCGGACTAGATGATCTGTCTAGGTCCCTTCTGACTCAGTGATTCTATGACCATGCCCCCAACTTCCTGTTGCCTGCTATTAGCCCAGTGGGCTGGACAGAGCATTCCCACAAACTGGATCCAGCCCATGGGTCACATGTTTGACAATACTGGTTTAAATGATGCATTTAAATTCGTGTCTCTGAAGTCTCACATTTTATGTCCCACCATATGTAGCAGAACTTTAAGTGCAATCTTCTTACCTGTCCCCAGAGCTGGCTACAATTTCCAGTTGCTTGAGAAGGAAAGGATAAAGAGTTGGAAACCGAGAGAAAAATTCTCTGCCTGTCATTCTGCAAAAATAAAGGGTGGGGGGAAATCACAATTAGTATTCTACAGTAATCTGCTCATTTCAAAATACGAGCCACCTAAATAAAACCACAATCCTGTAATCAACACAATGCCAGGACAATTGCACAGCCACAGGAACTAGCTGAAGAAACGGGACTCAAATGTTTTCATTTAAAAGATATAAATACAGGTCAGGGCTTTGTATTTACAATAGGAATTGCTGGGTTCTCCGAGATTTTGAGAATCAGGCCAACACCACCAGATGCAGGTAACTCCCCAAACCAGCTAATTTTCCTAATTTTAAACATCAACTTGACAAAATTTAGGCCAAAGAAAAGACATGTCCACCTCATAGCAATTCGTATAGGAGATCAGCTATCTACCTAGTGCCTGTGATTTCCAGGGCTGCTGCAGGAGTCCCTAGTTCATAACCTGACTTTGTGGCGGAGAGCACCAAGCCTCATCACCTCCTTGGTGCAATCCTCACACACCATCAAGTTGGTCCACCTCGATCTGGCTCCCAGCAAAGACCAACCCAACCAGGGCTGCACTCTGTCCAGTTTGTTTCATGCCTTTTAGCTGAAATGAAGCCTGCTTTCCCTAGAGATGCTGTTGCTGCCCTGAAAGATCACCTCCACACATGATGAATTCTTGCCAATGCAGCTCACTGGACACACCACCTCGATTACTGCCTGTTACCCAAGCTGTATGTGGCAACAAAAGCAGATCCCTCCCCATGGTGAATGAGAGTGGGGGTGGGATCCGGTTTGAGATCCTGTCTAAAAAAGTTCTGTACACATGGTTGATCCAGATGTGCCAAGCCCATGTCCTCACGACCTGTCCTGATATAACTTGGAAATGGTGCCTGGTGACAGCAGTGCCAAAGCAGACCTCCCTGGACTGAATGACTGTATATAAGCTGCCCTTTGCCAAAAGGACTGGCTACCTCCAGTGGAGACTGCTACACGGGGCCCCAGCTAGTAGCACCTTTGTCCATCACTTAGACCCAGTGACATTGGAAGTAAGAATGCTTCCACTGGTTTTTTTAACTGCTCCCAGCTGCAGCCACTCTTCGCTTCCCTCAGCACTTTGGCATGCTGTACTTGGATTTGTCTGAAACCATTTACATTTTTTTGTCCTGTACTGGGCAGGCAAGCAGAACATGATTTGCCTAGCCAATTTCCTATTGGACCAGGCCAAAACAGTGACCCTATAGAGAGATGTAGGAACCAACTTCCACGGAACGGCTCTGATGATGCCCTCTAATGCTTTCAGTTCCATGTCTGGGTATGCCTCTCTTTTGAGTTGGGCACATCACCATGCAACAGAACATAGATAGATTTGTGTCATGCTAGGACACCAATGGGGTGTTCTCAGTAAGGTGACAGATGGCCAGCTAGTTCAAAAAAGTGTGACCAGGCGAAGGGTGTGGCAGAAGGCCACCTCTGTTTCTCCCTATAAACTCTGCTCTGTGACAATTTGGTTAGGATGGGCCCAGCAGAGGACACACACCTTACCCTATCTCTTTAGGTAACCTGAGCTGGATACATTCCCAAGGGAGGGGGGAAACCTGCTCCCTCTGCCTATGTGACTGGTATCACATACCTGGGTGAGAGGCTTGGGCACCCTGGTGGGCTAGGGACTGCCAGTCTGCCCAGCAACTAGTGATGAATTTCAAATTGGTTGGCTGACAGCCAACAGGTGCTGGCCTCCATTGGACCAGGTAAATGAGGTCACAAGGGCTATATAAGTTAAGGACTGCCCAGGAGGAGGGGGCAGCAACCATAGACTCAGAGAGAGAAGAGCTGAACCATCTGAAACTTGCTCTCTCTCTCTCAAAACTCATGATCAAGGAACTGCCTACCTCCAGAGGGAATCTACACCTGTCTCTGGATGATACTTG